CCCCTCATTCCCCCGACCCTCTGCCATCAAACCGTCATTCTAACCCCATGTATGCGTACTCACGTACATCCTATCGGCATCAAGATTCCCTTGTCGTCTGCGAAAGACCTTTATCTGCACCAATCCTCGCCTCGTACTCTTGTTCCCGTCGTCTGCCAAGCGGTCTTATCTTATCTCTCTCCAGTCGGACCGCGAAACTCGAGGAAACCCAAAACGCCTAAATGGCCAGTAATAGCGACTAATCGAGGAAAAAGGGGACGGGCTTCGAGTCCCCGAGAGACCGGGAATTCCCGAAAGGAGCAAGGGGGGGGAAACTTCCCCTGAGAATCAAAGAGCTCTCTAATCTGCTTCGCGGAGTTTCTCCGGGGGTTTTCGCCATTGATAAGAGGAAGAAGCGGTTTGGACTTTGCAGCAGCCCCCTCCGCTAGACTTTTCCGCAAGAAAACTTGTTCTTTATTGTGACCGTGTTCTAAATGATATACTAGCTTTTTTTGTGTATTTGTTTCGTTTTCTGTTGTATGGTTTTTGTCTTAATTTCTGTCCGGCGTCGAAAAAGTAAGTAAAAAGAAAATTAAAGAATTAAAGAAAAAAGAGTCAAGAGAGATTTTAATTTTTTTGGAGTAAATTGTGTCTGTGAATGAGGATGGAGGAGGCAAGCTCGAGTAATTGTTGGAGGTAGGAGAAAAAGATATACCCGTCGGGAATGTGTCTCGCCATTGTCTTCTTTCCTTCTTTTTTCCCTTCAAACTTTCTTTTATTCAATCTTTGCTGCTCTTTTTCCCCCTTTGAAATTCTTTCTATCCTCTGCACTCTTGCGTTTGGGCGTAAAACAACACGGTCCTCTTAGCTTCTACTTCTAAACGAGCCATTTGTGGGTGCGTGTGTTTCACTCAAAGACAACAATACAAGGATGTAGACTGGTCAGAAATTCCCATTCGATAGTGGTTATTTATATCATTCTTTCTTTCTTCTTTCCTACTCTCTTTCTCTTTCTCCTTCTTTTTTTCTTTTTTCCATCTT